GGCTCCCGTAATGATAATGGTGAGCGATTGCTACAGCTGTGTGAAGATGCTCGCCTCTTTCTCGCTAGCACAAACTTTCGACACAGCATCCGCAGAAGCGTGATTTGGCGGCCGCCAGCCTCGGGCCAGCCATGGACGCAAATCGATCATTTCGCGATCAGTTACCGCTGGAGAGGCTGTGTTCAAAACTGTCGCTCGATTTGGAGCACGAGCGTGGACTCTGACCACACACTTATCTGCGCCGACCTCCGGGTACGTTTTGGTGGACGTCCGCAACGTCGATGTGAACGGATTGACACCAGCCAGCTGGCGAAACCAGATGTTCTGAATGTGTATCAAAGTGCGCTAACACCTGGGCTGAGTAAGCGCCCACTAAACACCGTCGAAGATCACTGGTCGCATATTTGTAAAACGTTACTGTTAGCAGACATGTCTTCATGCAGCAAATCAAATTGTCAAACCGGACATTGGGTCTCTACACTGTCTCTGGAACTTATGGATGCTCGCCTACGTATTCAGACTGGAAGCGAATACAATGAGGCTCGCAAAAATCTCAGGGCAAAACTACGTGCTAGTCTTAAGAAGGACCGCGAAACCTGGTGGTCTCATCGTGCCTCTGAGATGGAAACAGCCGCTGCCGTTGGTAATCATTGTATGTTATTTCATCTGATACGGGAAACAGGCAGCAGGAGACCTGGTGTTGGCGAGACCATACGCGACGAGAGTGGGCAGCTGATCCACAGCCTGTCAAAACGCTTGGAGCGTTGAGCTGAACACTTTGCTAGGCAATTTAACCAACCTGAATTATCGGTTTCTTTTTCGGGCATTGAGCGCCCTTCTCCCTGGGCAGTCTCCGTGGATCCGCCCTCATGCGCAGAAGCCGAACGTGAGATCAGGCTGTTGAAATTGCATAAGGCCGCAGGGACAATTAGAATTCCCCCAGCCCCCTTCAAATTCAGGGGACAAGCTCTAGTAGATGATCTACACGAGTTGCTGGTGAAACTTTGGGAGCAGGAGACAGTCCCGACAGACTGGAACCGCTCCGTCATTGTCCAAATTTTCAAGGGAAACTTCCGTTTGGAATGCGGCAATCATAGAGGGATCAGTCTGATTTCCATTGCCTCTAAATTGCCTGCCTCTGTCATTCTCCACAGACTGACTAGTACACATGAGAGTCTGATTCGTGAAGAGCAAGCCGGATTTCGTTGAAGTCGGGGCTGCATCGACCACACCTTCACATTGCGTCAAGTGTTGGAGCACCGCCATGTTCATTGGCGACCCACTGTTGTCGTGTTTCTTGACATAAAAGGTGCCTTCGACTCAGTCGATCGACGTGCCCTTTAGGACTGTCTGGTGAGGAAATGTGTACCCGATAAATTTGTAAACATTATCAAAGCGCTGTACGCGCATAGTTCGGGCAGAGTGAAGGTTTATGTCAAACTGTCGCCACTCTTCAGTATCACCAGTGGTGTGAGACAAGCTTGCTCGCTGTCACCTTTTCTCTTTAACGTCGCTATTGATGAAGTCATGAAAACAGCGTTCGTTGGACACGACCTAGAAGGCGTAGAGCTACTTCCTGGTGAGCGACTTCTTGACTTAGAGAATGCGGACGATATTGCCCTAATCTTTGACAACTCCCAAACATGCCAAGCAGCACTGGGCCGATTAGCACTGGCTGTCAATCGTTTGGCGCTATGCTTTGCTCCATCGAAATGCAAAGTACTTCTCCAAGATTGGCAGGGACCCAACCCTGCGCTAACGCTTTGTGGTGATCTGCTAGAAGTCGTTCAGGAATTCAAGTACCTTGGCAGCTATATTAGCACCCGTGGGATTGAAGATGTGGTTACGAACCGTATAGCAAATGCTCGAGGTGCTTTTGCCAATCTCCACCACCTGTGGCGCAGACGCGACATTACTCTCGCCCTGAAGGGCAAAGTTTATTACACAGTCGTCTGTTCAACTCTCCTATATGGTTGTGAAACCTGGCCCATCAGGTCGACAGACATAAAGAGGCTCGTCATGTTCGATCATCGCTGCCTTCGCAGCTTAGCTCATGTCTGGTGGGAACACCGCGTGAGCAATGAACGTGTTCGGCGTCGTGTATTTGGTGCAAGAAGAGCGAGTGAACCGCTCAGCACCATTATATCACGCACCGGGCTCCGATGGTTGAGCAACGTGTTGCGCATGCCAGCACACCGACTTCCGCGACGTGCATTGTTTGCGCGTTTTGGGTGCGGTTGGAAGAGGAGGGGGGCCGAGCGATGACTTGGTCGAGAGAGATAAAATCCCTCACTTCGACGCTGGCGTCGGTTGGTGCATCCCGACTACCTGGCTGGGGTCCTAAGGACGGTGAACACGTTTGGTTGGACACACTCGCTGATATGGCTTGGAGCCGGTCCTAATGGCGTTTGTGTTGTGAGTTCCTTTGTCCATCCCCCTCCTGCTTAGCATCCTCCTCCAATCACGATCTCACTCGTTAGGCGTAATATGACTCACCTTTTACGGCACGATAACCAGCTGTTAGATATCCGGAACGATGTCCATCCGTTACTGGGGACTCAGCGGGCGTGCCACTGTTTTCCTTTTCTTGTCTTTTGTATTGCGGCACAATAGCTGAGGTGTTTTCCACCTGCAGCTAACGTGTATAATGATGATGACGATAAGTACAGTCCATGGATTTGTGAGAGGGCGTGATACTACCCGGTTGCCCAAGCGGAAGTAGGGAGTTGACTTAGGTGACTCCACCCCGAGCCTTTGGCTAAATAACCTACCCGCAAGGCAGCGGGGCGAATTAAGGGAATCGTGCCCATTGGGAGGCGCTGACTGAAAGTTAGTTCATGCCTCCTTCGTTTGGTAGATCACCAAATAGGGGCCCAATACCCCATGAGATCAGCACGATTGCTGGAGTACAATGCTCCACCGAGGTGGAACACAGTTGCCGAGCAGTTCACTGAAACGGGGTACAATCGAACCATCCAGATGGCACCACCAGGAGGTAGTTCGGCAAGCCAGCCTCCTTCCTTCTAAAGCTTGTTGTTTAAAATGTGAACTAAGATGTTTCTTCTATTATATCTTCAGGTAGTCGTTGCGGAAAGGTGAGTCGCTTGCTGTCATCGTTTTTCAACCCGCGGACACATACATGTGCACAGTTGAGCTAGTTTCACGTATAAACAGGTTAACCACTTAGCTAATAATGTGGTTCAGGTGTGTTTTATCAATGGTAACTATGCGGACTATTTCTGTTCTTTGCCGCTTAACTCTGTCCGATTTCACTTTGCTTTCTCAATAATCCCCGGTTTCAGTTACCGCCCCATCGCAATGAGGCTGGACCTTACCGTGGTGCGATGGTTTGTGTGTCTGAGCGATCCATTGAGCTATGCTGGGTGGTGCTTTTGCACCTTCAGAGTCACTCACACCAGATTGGTCAATGGTTAGAGGCCAGACAAACTCAGCCTCCTGGTCCTCCAGGTTGGGGGTTGGAATGAGGGTGGCACCTTATTCCTTAAAACGGACTCCTTGTAGCCCAACGCCAAACCCGCTGCCTTGCGGTCAGGTTTTTGAACCAAAGGCTTTGGTTGAGAACCCTAATCGTTCTCCTGTCTAGGCCTGGGCAACCTGACAGTATCCTGCCCACGTAATATCATGAATCTTACCTCAAACAAATTGCTGATGCTCTGGACACCGCAGAGGATATAGTACTCATAAGTAGCAGGATTTTAGTTGTAAATTTGATAAGGCTTTCATCCCAACAGTTCACAAGCTACATAGGGAATGCGCGCCACTGACGAGCCCCAATAGGGCGAAACGCGTCTGGCGCTTTTCCGGACTAGGCTCTGCTATGTAGCTTGTGAACTGTTGGGATGAAAGCCTTATCAAATTTACCGCAGAGGATAATCAACGGTGTCCTATCTGCTGCATCGAGCTGGGTGGATAGGGGTATGGATGCTACTGCTCAAGCCTTCCCGTCTTATTATTCCCCCTCTTACGCTTTTTCACCCTTATCGTCCCCTTCCAACTTCACTTATATCCCCCCAATTTTCAACCCCCCGATTCTTGGCCATTCCCCAATATGCTTTGCTAGGCATTTATCTTCTAATTTCAACTCACATGTGAACGCGGAGCGTCACTCTTCTCCTGTCGACAAGCCCTTTTGCGGCACAATAGCGGAGATGTTTTCCCACCTCTAGCTGATGTGTATAATAAAAATAATAATAATAATCAGTTACCGCCGGTGGACGGAATACGGTAAGTCCACAAGCGTGACCTGGGGATAGTGATCAAGCATAGAGGCATACAAACAAGGGTTTGATATCCATTTATTACACCAATATTGTGTAGTGACCTATCGCATAGCAACGCACCGCACCAGTAACCTGATGGAATTCAAACCCGACTCTGATTAAGAGCTGGGTGGCAACCGGCTGAACAAAACTCCATTTTGTATGTCGCGGAATCGGATCGTTTGCATTTCAATGATTAGCCAAGGATTTATTTCCACTAGTTAATTCCGTTAGTAAACGTTAGCAAGCACATCCCGACAGCCGCCAGTAGCGATGAGATTTCGCGCAGATCAGAGCAAGCTGCAGCGTGAACTAGTTCAGTTGTTGATTTTCCTCGCGGACAATTGGGTTAAGTCAACTACGCCAAACGTGTCGACTTTCCGTTATGGTAGGACTCACCGGCGTGAGCCTTGTCCCCAACGCAGTCGCATGACGTTTGTCAGGCACCATCGAGCTGACTCATCAACGCGTCCGCACGCAAACCTGGCCCTCCAGCCCTTGCGGTACGTGAAGCGGCCATTAGCTCTTCCGTCCCCAAGGTCACATGTGGTCGATGGCCGAAAAGCAAGGTAAGGTCCTTTTTCATACCCGACCAATGAAAAGGCAGCAAATTGCTTCTCCGCGATTGGTCAAGTTCACGGTCATTGCACTTATTCAATCTTCACTGTCCACTACCCAACGTGCACTTACTGGCCTCTAGCAGTGCGTCCCACTTCTGCCATGTCGGATTCCGACGCGGTTGTCCACGTGTCGGACGATTTTGTAACCGATGTGCTCAGTCGGGATTCTTATCATTACTATGTTTGGATACTTACAAGTTTCGTAATCTGCTTGTTCATCCATCACGCACTAAGTCCATTCATATTTCGACGACACAATAAGGCTTATCGGGAGTTCTCTCGGGAAAAGCGCATGGAGTGGGATTCACGGTAAGTAACCACCCAGGATGTTTATCCTATTCGGAGGAAATATTTTACTTACTAAACGAGAATGTCATGGTTGATTATTGAAAACACTTTTGCCTCTGAACTGCAAGCATATGATATTGGGCTTCTCACTTGTTTGGCATTCGTTTGAGTACTAGTATGCTCATTGAATGTGGCCACTGTGTTCTCAAAAGTGACTGTTACTAGTTGGCCTATCTAACTTGTAATCCAATTGCAATGAACTAAGAAGCTTATAAGCGTCATTAAATTTCTCCTCATTAAACTATGCTGGTTCGTTTGAAGTAGCTTCTTTTTTAACGCCTTGTTTTATTTCTATTTGCGAGTCCCTATGGGCTGAATGTACTGTTTCCTCTCGTTACTGCTTTAACTTTGTTTACGTACGCGGTTACCAGAGTACACGCGTTTCCTTCCGCTTATTCACTTTGATATTCGGCTTGTAGTGACCTGGAGATTCCCTTGTTTGGCTGCCGCATGCTGCGTAAAATATTACAAAATCATATTTTCTCGATGTACATAGCAAATTAGCCGCTCGCCTGTTTGAACGTTGCTCGCGTTTGTTTGAGTCAACATAGCACCCGCCTTCGAACGGCGCGACGCTCATCGGCTCCGCGGCCATCTTTGCTCTCCGCGCACGCGACCACACATTTCCCCTAGCTAGCTATCTTCCGGTGCCTTATTTTTAGCACTAGATAGCGTTTCGCCCACTTAATAAATTTTTCCTAGCGTTACCTTTGGTGTTCTCCACTCATCGGAGGTTGGCCTTATATTCGCGTATTGGTTTTAAAGCGTACCGATCCTGCTTCTCGCTTTAGGCTCGTTAGAGCATCGTCATATGTGCAAGTCGTTCCGAAGGATTTCGTATGTAACTAACTGCTTCGCGAAGCTTATGCCGTGCTCGCTTCGCGTTCCGTTTTCGTCCCGGTTTTTCTGGCCATACCCCGAACATACCTCACCATTAGCGCGGCTGGCACACATTTGTGCCGTAACTATTCCAAGTTTAGCTTTAAATAAGAACTGGACAATGTGCGATCCCGTGAATGTTCCACCTTGATAACGTCGGGTCCTGAGGCAATTATGGAATCGATTTATCAATTAAGTCAAATTAGCACGCGCGGTTTAAGCCGCCGTCAACCAGCCAATGCCTAAATGCTTTCACTAGCAGCCGTTTGTGCTGGTCCCATAAAGCGGGAAGAAAAAGTTAGTGAATTGGAAAGCAAGCTTAAACTCTCCTTAATGGTTCTTTAACGTCACAAGCGTTAACAAGCTCTGCATGGTAACTCGGGTGGTTTATTTGTGAGCCTAGGTTAAAATAGTGTCCATCAAGTGTCACAGCGATGTATATATACCGAACCAGTCATGGAGACGTATCTGAATCGTCAACTAAAAGAGCGTGATACAGAGCCGAAACGTGAAATGTGCGCTAATTTGTTTAACCTGCTGCAGACAGCTGGCTCGTAGCCTGCCTTGTGATCCGAGTGCATGGGTTTGAGCCTTGGCTCTTAGGTCAGCCGACATAATAAGGCTAGTCACATTCCACCACCGGTGCCTTCACAGTTTTGCCCACATCTGTTGGGAACACCGTGTGTGCAACGGGCATGTTCGACACTTGTTCTTAGCACAGGAAAAGGAAATAAACCGCTCAGCATCATTTTACGTACCGGGCTCCGATGGCTCGGCCACGTGTTACGCATTCCAGCCCACCGGCTCCCGCGACGTAAGTTCTTTGTGCGTCGGAGGGTGTGGATGGAAAAAGAGAGGTGGACAGGCGATGACTTACTCGAGAGGAATGAAGACTATCACTTCGAAGCTGGCCTCCGTTGGAGCGTCTCGGCTCCCTGCTTGGGGTCCGAGGGACGATGAACACGTTTGGCTAGATACACTTGCTGACACGGCTAGGAGCCGACTTCAATGGCGTTCGTGCTGTGGGTTTCTTTTTCTCCCCCCATCCCTCTTAGCCTCCCCTCCAACCATGATCTCCTTCCCTAGCATATTTTTGCAGAATACATGTTTTCTTTTTTGCTGCGTAGTTGCTGGTTGATAGCTTTCCGGAGCGATGACCATCCGTTACTGGTAGCTCATTTGGCATGCATCTGTTAGCTTTTTTCCTTTTATGTATTGCGGCACAGTAGCTGAGGTTTTTTCCCACCTCTAGCTAACGTGCGTAATGATGCTGATGATGTGGGTTTGAGCCTACATAGGGACCGGGCGACTCACATGCGACTGGTGGCTGCGCGGCAGCAAAGCCTCGGTCTCTAGTACCAACGTAATGCTAATGCCTTTCCGTCGCAACGAGACTGGGACTTAATATAATGTGACGGTTTGCCCCTCGAGCTGTACTGGGCGGAGTCCGAGGACTACTTGAGGGCTACCAGGTTGATCAATGGGTAGAGGTCAGACAAATTCATTCTCCTGGTTCTCCAGGTTGGGGTTTGAAATGGGATAGCGTCAATTTATGTAAAACTGAATCGTTGCCAATCCGCTGCCTTGCGGACAGGCTTTTGAGCCAAAGGCTTTGATAGAGGACCCTAATCTTCCTCCTATCTAGGTTTGAGCGCCCTGGCAATGTCTCAGCCAGCCTACAACCATGGCTATCCATAAAACCTCAATCACATCCTGCATCACCCGTGGCGCAAAGTATCAAGGTCGCCTTATCTGCTGCAAACAGCGGAGTGGATAAGCGAAAAGATACCACTGCCTTCTTTCTTTTCCATATGTTTCTCTTATTCCTCTCCCAACCCCATTGCTAACCTTTGTTCTGTGATTTCCATCTTGATTGATAACAGCCGCGATGCCATTGGAGTCGAACCGATTGCAGCTGCCTTTCCGCACCACCCACCGAACGTATCTCGGCAGCAGCTCCTAATAATGCCACACTGTCCCGTTTTTCTGGTAGCGTTCAACGTTCGCACTCTAAGACAAATAGGGTAACAGCCTACACTCGCCTGCACTTTGGAAACACTGGGTATTGACATGTGTTGCGTATCTGAAACTTCGGTCAGTGTTCCACACGGTGGCACAATAGTTAATGTGTGGTTCTCACCTTCGGCTAATGTGTACTGACGATGATGATGGCCCTCATGGAGTTGTGAAATTATCTGCGCCCGGATTGCCCTTTCGCTATTGGTTGCACGCATCCGGAGAGGGTGATGCGGCAATCACTGGTCTACTTGTGGTGAGCATCGTTCTCAACTCCAAGGCTGTTATCGTTGGTTGATTGGATTCCTGTGAGCAGCCATTTGTGTGCAGTCCGTTGGACGACATCAATTAATATTGATTCACGTAGTAGCACAATACGTTGTTTGTTTGTGGTTTCCGCATATGCTCCAATCGACTGCAGTTCTTATGCTACTAAGGCCACATTCTACCACGAACTGAACACCCTACTACGAAATGTTACTAGTTCAGATATCATAATTCTTTTAAGGAGTATGAATGCACGAATAGGTCGCCTGGACTCTTCGAAAGCTAAGTTGCGCGGTAATCATTGGCGTAACTTCGAACGGACGGACAGTGACGAACTTTTGTTGCAACTGCGTGCGGAGCACCAGCTGTTTCTTAGTAGCACCACTTTTATACACGGTGGGAACCGAAGTGCCAATTGGCGTCCTCCCATTGCTGGCCAGTAATGTATCCAAATCGATTACGTGGCCATACATTACAGGTGGCGTGATTCCATCCTGGATTGCTGCTCGTTCTGGAGTGCTTCTATCGACTCTGATTATGCCTTGGTACGCTGTCCTTTTTCCATGAACTGGGGGGCGCACCAAGCATCACTCGATTGGCAACTGATAACTTGTCTCAACCCTTTGTCGAGCAAGCCTGCCAGGAAGGATGCCCTGCGCGCCGAACTTTCATTCTCTTTTCTTAATGACATTGAGCTTTATTGTACTGGAATCTCGGCCGTCATGCACGACGCAGCAGTTTTTGCTTGTGGCACCACGAATCGTCACTGTATGAGTCACCGGATATCCGAGATGTAGGTGAATTTTTTGGAATCCAGAAATTCTTCCGGCTGGCTCTGCGCACAGTGTAACTGGGCGGACTGTTCGACGCAAACTGAAGCAGAGCATGCTTGCTGACTAAAGAGCCTCGTGGACGAGCAGGGCACAAAAAGTCTAGGAGGCGGCAGCAGTAAACCATTATCGCAACTCTTCCAGCTGGTCTGCAGCACTGGTCTCAGGAAACCAGGTGCCATTGCAACAATCAGAGGCAGTGCGGGTGTTCTGATTCACAGTAAGGAGCGCCGCATTGCTCGTTGGGCTTAGCACTCTTTAGAGGAGTTCTGTTGTCCTTTGCTCCTGGTCCTCTTGTTACTCAGGTGGTGCATGATGGGCCATGGTTGGTTAATTTAAAGGCTCAGTCGGAGGGTGAGGTCCGAAACGCGATCACAGCCCTCAGTCATCTTCATGCTGCCTGCCCGGATTTCATCCCACCTGCACTACTTAAGGATAGTGGGTACGTTTTCTGCAAAGCACTGACCCCACTGTTTGAGCATGTCTGGAAGGAAGATATCATCCCAGCTAACTGAAATGAACCGATTATGGTGGCACTATACAAGAAGGACAATCGCACCGATTGTGCTAACTACAGGGGTATTGGCTTAGCGCCGGTGGTAATAAAATTACTTGCCACAATTCTCGTTTGTTTACTTACTGCGGAACGCGAATCCCAAATTAGGGAAGCGCAGCCAGGTTTCCTCCCCGGGCATGGCTGTATAGACCACATATTCACTCTGCGGCAGGTGCTGGAGCAGCACCACACATACCTCAGACCGACCATAGCTGTGTTCCTCGGCTTCAAGAGTCCGTTCGTCTCAGTCGATCGATGCAGATGCGTCCAGTTCGAAATACTTGCGCGGAAAGGTGTTCCCATGAAATCTGTGAATCTTTTACGTGCTCTATACTCGGAAACAACTGGCAGCGTTAGGAAATCACCGGTTAAGGAAGATCAGGTAGGCTTCCGTCCAAGACGTGACTGTATAG